GTTGGAAATAACAACGCAGACATGAAAACAGTTGCTGTCAAATTCACAGTAGTAAGCCTTTGCTTTCATTTGCCATTTCATAAATGAACAATGATGTGTGTCTTTTTATGCAAACTCTAGCAAAGCAGCCCAGCTGCATTAAATGCTCAACACATCTAGGATGCCAGTAATGTTTTTGTATCAAAGCATAGCTTGTCTGCTTTTTTTTTTTTTAAAAAGAAGAATATATTTTGTTAAAAGTAAAGGTAAAGAAAATACATTCTCAAGAATTTTTTTGATGGAAAATCATAAATGTGAACATTTTTATTAAGTCAAAGAAAAAAATTATTTTGCTATTATAAATATTATAACTGTATAGGCTTCAGGAAGGTTTTCTGGTTCATGTGGAGTCCAGGAACTACCATGACAATTGCACTTACTAGCCATACAAAGATGTGTTATTATTATGATGTTATTATTATTGTTGTTCTTGTTTTTGTTCTTCTTCTTGTTATTATCTCTTTTATTCATTAAACATGAAACTCAGCCAACTGGACATTTAATATGTATCACAGATACCATTGACTGTTGCTAAAACGAAGTTTGATTGTGTGAATCAAACACACAAGTACAGAAAAATTGCTGCAGACTGTGAAAATGGGGAACATTATAAAAACAACAGAAACAAAAGCAGAATATAAGGAAAAACAGCTAGATGACATTAAATAGATGGAAAACCAAAGCTTTGCATGGACAGCACTTGAAAAACATTGAAGGAAAATGTGATGACAACTTTACATGGGCATGGCTTAAGATGGGAACCATCAAGAAAGAAATGGAAGGTTTAATACTCGCTGCTCAAGAACAAGCATTACAAACTAATGCTATGAAAGCAAAGATACAAAAATCCACCGACAATCCAAACTTTGCAACAACAAAGTTGAAACTGTTTCACATTTAATATGTGAATGCAGCAAAATCGGACAAACTGATTACAAGTTTGAGCCGAGGTTTGAGCCGAGGTGGCGCAGTGGTTAGGGTGCAGTACTGCAGCTACTAGTTCAGCAGATCAGCGGATCAAATCTCACCGGCTCAAGGTTGACTCAGCCTTCCATCCTTCCGAGGTAGGTAAAATGAGGACCCAGATTGTTGGGGGCAATATGCTATTTAGTATACTGTCTTTGGTGTAAGCCGCCCAGAGTTCTCGGAGAGTGGGCAGCATAGAAATATGAATAATAATAATAATAATAATAATAATAATAATAATAATAATAATAATACAAAGCTAGACATGGCCGAGTTGCTAAATTAATAATTAAATTAATTAATCCACTGGTCATTATGTAAAAAATATGATTTACTTGTAACCAAAAAGTCATGGGAACATAAAGTGGAAAAAGTTATAGAAAATGAGAAGGTGAAGATCTTGTGGGACTTTAGAATACAGACGGATCGTCATTTGGAACACAACATCCATATATCGCAGTTGTCGAAAACCGAAATGTACAATTTATTGACATTGTGGTACTAGGAGATGCTGGAGTCAAAGAAAAAGAACTGGAAAAAATCATGAAATATCGCGACCTAGTCACCGAAACTACACGGCTATGGATGAAACATGTAACAGTGATGCCCATTGTCATCAGGGTACTTGGTACCATGTCCAATAATTTTATAAGATACATCAACAAATTGCAGCTTCCTGCAATAACACCAACGGAACTGCAAAAAACTGTGCTACCTGGAACATTGTACATCTTAAGAAGGTACTTGGTTGATACGTAGGACGCTGGCAGCAACTCGCATCAACCATTAGCACCAGTCAATGGTATTTGTGATGCATTTTTGAATGTTCAGTTGACTGAGTTTCATGTTTAATGAATAAAGTAAATAATAATAATATAGTGGATGATCTACCATATGCAGATCTTTGGATGAAAGCCAAAAAAACAAACATAGAAACCATACTTTTAATATTGTTTAGCTACCAGAATGTTAGATGTTTGTTTTAAAGCATAGCAAAATAAGTACTCAATAGATTTCTTTTTTCATTTTTGAAAAATTAGATAGAGTTCAATGAATGTTGTATTATGCATTTGGTTCAGAGCTGAATAAAAACCTTCAGTGAGGAAATAAGTAAAGCTACTCCACTTATCTAGTTTCCTTGAGCAAGCTAATGCATAAAGCAGATTAAGAATTTTTCCGCCTAAATGTGTTATAGCAGCACTAAAGTATTCTATTAATTACAAAAGTATATTCCTCTGTTCTTGCCTAAATGATCAAGGCTTCTCTGGTGCATTTTTCCTTGCAGCTGAAGAATAAAATTTCTTTAATAATAATTATTAGAGATTGCTAATTGATTACATAGCTGACTCAGTTTGAAACGAATATCAATTATCTAGAACACATCCTTAATAGATAGCAGGATCAATTCAGAATAAAGTTATTATTATTCAAAAGTAGAATCCTATGGTACTTCAGATTGATTAAATCAATGTACTGTATGAGACACCAAAAGGAAAAGCATTATAAAAACTTACCAGTGAAATAAGATATTCACTGCTTTCACAAATCTTTAGCATTTTAAAAAATTCTGATCAATTATCCCAGTCCAAAATAAGCCACAATGAGTTAATACAAGAGACTAACCCAAAGCCAAACACTTGATATTAAATTTATTAGCTGCCCATCTTGCTTTGAGATGATATTGGTACTTCACATATGTGCAATATGTGAATCTACTTTTGGTTATCATCAGATTGGTTAAACTTTTCATACAGTGGAGCATCACATATTAAAAAATGTTAAACGTAATCTCTACTATTCTAGTGCATCAATAAATCCCCCAAAAAATTAACATAGAAAAAAAGCATGTGGATTTCCCTGCTTAACTTTTGATATGTTTTAAAATAAAAGTTATCAGATTCAGTTTTAAAAAGCAGAAACACTAGACTTTTATAGGCTTCAAATGGAATCTGAGCTTTTCTTGTTTATTTTGCTCCTTTGATGAATGTCTCTATGTAACAGTTAAGAAACAGAAGAAAAGAATGAGTTGAAAGAAGTTGGAAGTGCCTCTATTGTATGAAAGAATGGGAGGGAAAACAGTCAGATCAAAAAGTAATAGATACGGTACATGTCTTTGAATTTTCTGTGTGAGGAAACTAAATTTTCATACAGTACTCAGAATTTTGCACTGAAAGCAAACAAAAATAATATAAAATCCTGTGGAATGGAATTCACTCTGTACTTTACTAATATATTTGTTGCAGAAGTTCTTAAACTTCATAGTATCAGAACCCTCTAGACTGATTAATTAATTAATTAAGGAGATGAGCAACCTAGAACTAAGGAGAAATTTCCTGACAATTAGAACAATTAATCAGCGGAACAACTTACCTTCAGAAGTTGTGAATGCTCCAACACTGGAAGTTTTTAAGAAGAGATTGAGCAACCATTTGTCTGAAATGGTGTAGGGTTTCTTGCCTGAGCAGGGGGTTGGACAAGAAGACCTCCAAGGTCCATTCCAACTCTTTTATCCTGATTAATTAATATGCATTTATTTCTACTTCACAAGTCATTGTCATTGTCCTCAGCCATTCAGTCCTGTTTGCCTCTTGGCCACTCTATGGATCAGCATTATGCATAACCCTCTGTATTGCACCACCTCCTTCAAATCCACCATGGTCATCCCCGTGTCATCCTTTATAGTGTCCAACCAACAAGTACTAGGGTGTCCCCTTCTCCTTTTTCCACTGATTCACAAGTATAATCAATGATTTAACTAGGGTTACGGATGGGCAGGAAATAAGCATACTGTACTATCTTATCACAAGGATTTCTCGAACTTTTAAGCTGCAACCACTCTGTAAGAATTGCCTAGGCAAAGTGGGGAGAAAAGCTTATTATGAGTTTTGACTTTACCTGTGGTTTGTTTTCACAAGGATGATCAGATGTTCAAAAACTCTGTGCCTTTCTCTGCAAAGACAATAGTGGTAAGGTAACAACCTACAGTTCAAGAATTTTTAACCTACTGAATGGATCTAGCATTGAGGAAGAAATCATCATGCTTCCCTGTAATAAACCTGCCATTATCTGTAAGGTTTATAAAAATACATTTTCCCTGAGCACTTGGAATATTGTACATGTCTGTGACAGTTGTATACATTTAAGATTAGTAATTCAGAAGTCATATTCACTCTGTACAGTTCAATAACCTTATACTTAAAATGTCAAGCCAGTCACTACAAATAGTGATTTAAGAATGAGAGTAATTAATGTGTCATTTGCTGAAACTTGGGTGATATAAAAATAGCATTGATCTGAGATGTATGTTTAGATTCCAACAAAATAACTTCAGAAACTTCATTTCCATCTCTGCTATCCTTTTCTTAAAAGCCCCCAACTTTTCATTTTTTATTTTTCCTGTTCTCCAAGATCCACTATTGGTAGTGTACAGCTGGTAACAGAGATACAGCAGATTAAAACATTTTCTGCATATTAACTTTCCAATGTATATCAGGATCCAAGCTATAAAAATCAGCCATCTCTCTTTAGGAGATCACATATGAAGATAGGAATATCACATTGTCATTCTTACAATGGGATTGTTTATTTGAGATTACATGATAATATGTACATGAGAATTAGTGTACTTTCTATAGAAGAGTAAGAGATGAATTTTAATTCTACTAATCTTTGTTTCATACACAACTGCTTTAGTGTAGTATCTCTTTGATCCATTTTTACCACACTGCAAGTTTGAAGTATAAAACATGTTCCTTTGTGCATATGACTACATCACACATGCATGAGTAGGGCTTAGATTTTAAGGTCCTCCCCACCATTTTGCAGATTTTGACTTAAAATAGCCAATTATGGAAAATATATAATGAATAAATAGATATACATGAAATATTTGCTAAAACAATTTACAGCAATTTACAAGGATAAGAAGCGCAAGGAACTTGTTCTCAAACTAAAAGATGGAATTAAAAGTACATTGCTTTGCATCTTCACAACAGGAATACGAAACAACAGGACTTCTCCCAAGCTGAATGATGGAGAGATTTGTTTCTCCTGGTGAAAAATAGCTGATTTTGCTGCCAAAGTGGGTTCTTTGGCAGCTTGCCAAAGAAGCTAGGAATGACCCCCCCCAAATGACCCTCGGACAACTGTGGACCCTCCTGAGAAGAAGGAATCTTGAGGACTGCAATTCCTGGTAGGAGCAGTCAGAGAGTTGAGTCTCCATCTTTCCTCTCAGCTGTTTGGGTTGTTTTTTTTTTTAAGCACACTGTATTTTAATTCCACTGTTTGAATTTTCTTTTTTATCTTGATTTTTCTTTCAAAAGTTAATTGACTGTTTGAGGGCTGATTTACTTTAATTCCTTGCTGGATTTTAACATGAATTCTTTAATGTTTTTTCACTGTTTTACTTTGCTGTTCTGAATTACTTTCACTTTCTCCTTATGAAAGTCAAAGGAGGTTTTCTAGCTAGTGAAAATAATCTGTTTAGATTTTCATTTGCATCAGATTTTCACTACAGAGATTTCAGATTTTTTTAACTTTTAAAAAGCTCTAGTCTTAATTTTTTTTATGTTTCATGGAAAAAATTTTTGTTTTATTTTTTTAAAACATCCTTTATTGTGAGAAATATTATCTCAACATTCTTTATGGCTACTTTGTTATATCTAACCCCCGTAGTCTTGAAAGAAACTGTTTATGTCTGGTTGTGAATGCCCAGTTACAGCACTATATTAAAAATGCAAACAATATACCAACGTAAGTCGTCTGGAAAGCCATCAAAAAAAGAATGCCTTTTAACCTACATGTTCAAATTGAAATCTTTTATAAAAAGCTTGACAAAATAACAAGGGTTTTAAATCAACCTAGAGGATATCCAGACACAAGTAACTGTAGCCAAACCAAACTCACTACTGAATGGATTGGAATCTAAATTGCTCTTGGCATATTTAAAGGAGAAGGAATTGGGCTTGGAAACTGCAGCTTTGTGGGAGAAGGCTGAAGATGATATGGATTCTAAAGATTTGAAGTTAACAGAATCGATGACTGATGAACTGGACTTTCTTAAAAAGATTGATGGTAATTGTGGAATGGATTTATTATATCTAACTGGAAAACAATTTGGATTGGACTTTTTGGAGAAAATGGATCAACCACAGAGGTTTATAATTTTGGGGAATAAGACACAATTGTTGAGAAAACCTTCAACAAAAATCTTGAGAAATTTTATTATTAAGAATCAAATGAGGATATTTGATTCCAGATGGATCATAAATAATGACTGTTGTATTTATGGTAAATAAGACACTGTTGTAGATTTTCTACAATTTAAATACAATAATAGATTGCTAACAGAGGGCTTTGAACTTTAATTTTGTTGTTGATTCACCTGTTAATTACTTTGCCTTTATACAGAGTAGATAAATGACAGATCAAATTGGTTGCAAAGAGAGGAAGAAGTTTATAAATTTTGGGCCTGCTTCACAAGGGGAAGGAACTAATATTGTTCTAATATATTAATTAGTATTCAACTAGAGGGGATAATATATGTATATATATGGTTTTGCCTTTTGTATTTTCAATATTCTTTTTTTTTCTTTTTTAATGTTTTGTCTATCTTGTTTTATTTTGTAAAATTTCTTTTTCTTTTTTGGAGTTTGTATTTTACCTTAATTTTCAAAATAAAATAAAAAATATTTTTTTTAAAAAAAGAAATATGAAACAGCAAAAGTGATTTCCATGTGTATTGAGATCTAAGGACAGAAGCATATGTTCTTTGTAAAATCAATGTTTTTGTGGTTTCAGATAGTTCCAGTCTTTATTTTCTGCATTATGTAATTTTTAGCTAAAGGTACTTCGAATAACATGTGAATGGAATACCTAACATAATTAATTGTAGGACTGGCCATCGCTTTAAATCTAACTGCTACAATAACTTATAAGAAGGTAATTTCTCAAAATTACCATATTTGCAATTTTGTAATTTTATACAAAAATACAGTATATTGGCTTGACTTGCCCTTTTAATCAATGTAGCATTTTCTTTCCAATGGAACCACTACTATACCACATGAAAAACTATAGACAAATTAACTGCTGATCAGATTTTTAAATTAAATAAACTGGCCCAGTATTTTGTAAATAAAAATACTTCAATGTTTTGCTTAATTTATTTCTTCAAGTGTCCATAGTTCCATTATTCTAGAACACAAACCCTATTCTCTTGCTCCACGTTTTCTTTTCTTATGGATACTTGAAGCTTCATGAGCAATTTAGCACCTCCAAGAGCTTTGGACTCTGGTGGTGCAGTGCTTAGAATGCAGTGTTCCAGGCTGACTCTGCCCACAGTCTGGAGTTCAATCCTGATGGGGCTCAAGGTTGACAGCCTTCCATCCTTTTAAGATCAGTAAAATGAGGACCCAGATTGTTGGGGGCAATATGCTGACATTGTAAACCTCCTCAAGAGTGCTGTAAAGCTTTATGGGGCAGTATATAAGTTTAACTGCTACTGTAAGTTCTATTAGATAATATCCTTCATCAGAACTATTTTTTGTTCTCAAGTATGGAAAAGAAAAGAACAGTAAATTTGCATCTTATAGAGACAGTGAACATTTTATCTGGATTTCATTGGGGAACTTCAGTTATTAGCTTTGTGTCCTATGTGTGAATATTCATGTTTGGAATGGATTGTGATATCAAGTATCTGAGCAGGTGGGTTGGACAAGAACACTTGCAAGGTCCCTTCCAACTATTTATTCTATTATCTCCTTCTGTATATTCCTAATACTATTTATCTTTTCCCATCCTTTTGTGTATTTCCTTCTTTTCCCATTCCAGCTTATGTATTCATGTTTCCACATACTTACTGAAGGCACAGTATAAAATAAAACAAATAGTATCTACAATAATTGCAAATCAATTCAATAAAAAGAACTCATAATCGAATGTACAAATATTAATCCTAAAACAACTAAAACAACAATACATTTTATATCAGTGACCTAAGGTAAGATTAAGTGTGTTTATGTTGATGTAGCCAAAATCTGGATCTCCTAAAGCAACAAAATCATTTTGAAGATACAACATAAATTTATTAAGCATTCAAATGAAAGCATGTACTTAGCTCACAATAAAACATTGGCAGCTTGCTGAGTGCCCCTAAACAAAACCAGAATATAGTTTATATTCCTCTGATTTACCATATTACAAAGACAAAACAAAGAAAACGGAAGACACAGTATAAATTAAAGTAACAGGCTGAAATGTTGTTCATAAACCCATTTGGGTGACCTTATTAATATTCATCCCTTCTGAGTGGTGCGGTGGCCTAGAGGTGGAGCTCTTGCCTCACAATCAGGAGACTGTGAGTTCAATCCTAGGTAGAGGCAGATATTTCTCTCTGGGCACACTAAGAATACATCTGCTGGGAAAAAAAACTCCACATTGGCGACAGGAAGGGCATCCAGCCAGTAAACACTCAATTCCATTCAGTTGCTCAGACTTCACCCCACAATGAATTATGTGGTCATTAAAAGAGGATAATGATGATGAATATTCATCCCTTCCTAGTAGGTCAGCATGGTTGCTATACTATATCTGAGATATGGTCAGTAAACACAAACCATTTTGTTCACTGGGTTATTTGCCCCTATCCTCCTATTCCTCTCCCTGTCAGCAATCAGAAGCAATTCAGCTTGTTGTGAATGTTTTATTACAAGGGAACTTTAAGTTTCTCATATGGGAGGAGGGGATGCATTTCATAGGTTTTATAGTGAATGTAACTTGCTGGGAGGGGTGTTACCTTAACTTTCCAACACCCAAAATAATTTAAAACAGTGTTAATCTAGAACCATTAGTAAATAAGAATAGACTAATACTTTTACTTTCCTATTAATCATATGAAAAAGTATTTAATTTTTTTAAGGCTATCTCATTTCTACAGATGTGAAAGGAAGAAGAAAACTAATTCTAGAGTCATGGAATAAAGCTCCTAAAGGCCTAGAATCTGGTAACTATGACCAGGCAGTGGGGAACTGAGAGAAGTCCACATTTAGAGGAAGGTAAAAGAATAAACAGGATTGTAGAAAAAAAATAGTCAGATGGATAATGGGGAATTTGTAAGCAAAGACTCTAGACCCAATCACTAGTTTAAACTGGGGAGAATGAGCCCTCACTCCTACAAATATTCCTCAGGTAAAAATTAGCAACCTTTTCTGTAGACTGAGTAAATAGAAACAAAGCCAACTGATCATTGATCAAGAAACAAAATTTATGGGTTATGTGTGTAAAATATGAGTGATGATAGCAGATATAAATATAGTCCTAGTTAAAAAAAAAGTGTGTAACTTTTCAGAAAGGAGTAGTGTTGGAGTGAAAAGTTATGTTGAATGAATACTTATTTTAACAGTCAGGCTTCAGGGTTCCCATTCTTCTATGTCCCCAAATGCTCTTCGCTTTATACAATTATGCTGTACTCATGGAAACAAATGCTTCAATGACTTCAATAGAGTGACTTTAAGAAGACAGAAGCTGTTCCCTGCTTCTTATAGATAAGCAAAGAATTAGCAAAGACATCCAAACACTGGAACACTGACATACAATTAGATCAGTGGAGTCAAAATCAGGTTTGATTTTTAATTGGAATAGTTTCTGAATCCCTCTGAATCAATCCTATTTGGTTCTGGAACTAGGATGGGGCTGCATTTCTATACTGAACTGGACATTTTAATTTGACATCTTATTCATTCAATGAGTCCTTCCTTCAAATGGGGAGGGAAAAGATTTTTCACTAAAATGCCTAGATATAATTGGACATCACCTCCTGTTGACTTTATAGAAGTATTTGATGGCTAACAGCTACACCTGTTATTTTTTTTTAAATGTTCCTTTAAAATTTAAAGTCATAAGAATTAAAATAAATGTTTCTAACCCCACAGTAAATATTTTATAATAAACAGGATGCTTCATTTGGATGTTTAATCCCATTTAATGAAAAATAATCCATTCTCTTTTCCTGCCCACACTGCTTTAATCCATGAGTCAGAATGGCTGCCCACACATCACCTAATGGCTGCCCACACATCACCTAATTCAGACTGATCCGCAAATGCATAAGATAAAACTACACATATCTCTTGGATGATTGGGACCTTAGATGAGCATTTAGTGAATGACTGAGTAGAATTAATTGCTAACATC